ATCAAATATCATGAATTTTCGTAGACACTTAGAATATTATGCGCTGTTAATATTTGGTCGCATCGTCGCAAATTTTAGTGCGTTTAAAAGCTAAATTGAACTATTGAAGGCGAAATATCACTCGGAGTAGGTTGTACTTGGTACCAAAATGATCGCCACGATGTGTATTTTTCAACCCTGCAATCGCTTCTGGGATACACGAAACACAATCCGTGCTGTCAGCGGTAGAAGTTGAGCCGTTTGGCTGTTGCCAAACTAAAAGGTCAACAAAAGGTCAACCGTATTAAATAACTTCAAACTCGACGAAATATTGTAAGGGACCGGTCATAAAGTAACTGCTAGGGTGGGCTGGAGGTAAATCACAAATTTTGCCAATAAGTTTGGTGACCCATCTTAGGATGTAGATAAAAATTTCAAAGCCCATCCAATCTTACCAAATTTATTTCATGACCCACCCACCCAATCTAAATTGGGAAAATACACTTTTATAATGAAAAAAACTTGCAGGTATGAACATATATCAATACAGTGCCTGTGTATATCTTTATTTTGTATCTGCAAAGCAGATTACTATTAACGTTACCCATAGCCATTCAGCGGAAGAGCTTATATAATTAAGCCAATCAGAGCTTACATCAATGGACCTTTCCCCTTATAACTAAAATTTTAATCTAGACAAAAATTTCATCACAGCTTGAAAGAGCATCACAGAATTAGTAATATTCCAAAGTTTCGTTGTGAAATAATATAGATAAATTTCATTAAATGCATGCAAAATGCGACGTTTGAATCAAACGTCGAATTCATTGAATTCGCTCGAATGAAATGCGAATTGTATTCGACACATGCAAAATTCGACGTTTGAACCAGGCCTTACCTGCGAACAGGCGTATTTTGGCCTCGTGTAAGTCGTGTTACTCTTTGCCATATTTTGGCTTCAAAAATATCTTGATTTTATCTTGAATTGGCTGTCTTGTTTTCACCATTCTACTTGTGATATTATTCCGAAGTTATCTATCAACATGGAAAGTAGTCAAATACCACATATTTTATTATATACATTTATACAGTATAAAAACAATCATTGTGTAATATTTTACATGTATTAAACAGTCAAAACTCTGGCTGCAGGCATTATATTGCCAATTAACAATATCACAAGAAACTAATGTTCTCAGGAGATATCGAATTAAATCTAGGCCTGGTCCTGTATTTCTGTAACTCCGTTCAAAACAACAGTCCAACTAAGTTGTCATCAAATGTAGTGTTATTATAATAATAAAGGTAAAGATGTCATCAGTTTAAATTATACTATACATTTTAGTTTCACACATTAGAGTTAATTAAACAAAATTGTTACAACCATTTTCAAATGCTAATACTCTATATATAACCCTCCCTCCTTATTACATTGTCATTTTGCTTTCTAATATAAATGTTTTTGTTTAGAGATTAATACAAGAATGATGAATGCATGTACTGATGTACTGGATATTGGCTGGATAATTTTGTCAGAACAACCCACTTGCAAGACAATCTTACCTAAATTCATTAGTATGGAAAGCAACTTAACAGCTACAATAATCATATATTATATGGATGGATCAGATCAATGGCGCACAATGTACAAAACTAAACTTGTGATACCTTCTACTCAAACATATATTCTCCCACAACACAAATTGTTTTTGTGTGGATATGCTGAGTTAAACCGAACAGTGTGGTTATGCTGAGTTAAACCGAACAGCATATCATTAACTGTGCACAGGATTGGAATTGAATTATATACTTCATTCAATCATGACCTTCAAAACATTCTCTACTATTCAGTGGTCTTCGATATATGATTGACTCTTTGCTACAGCAATGCATGTTCCTCGATTAGTTTGTGCATGTTACTCGACAGTTAACATTGGCAAGTGTAAACAACAAGTGACAGAACTTTTGCATTATATATGATTACATTAAAGTTTTGAAAATTCGATGAGTATGGATTGACAAGTGACAGTTTACTAAATGCTGGCTGTGTAGACACTTCGAATTATTTATTGTTTGCATGATTTTTTATTCCCTGACTGCATAATAAATTATCTGTTACAAGCATAATTAATCACATTATAAAATTAGGTAAATTTTCTCGGTGGTGGGGGAGGGGGGAAGTTGCCCTACTGCCCTCCGTGCAGTGTATACAACCCTGTTAGATTTGTATTATGTTTGACTTTAAAAACTTATTTGCTATTATATTTATCATAATAAGTGATGAAGTTAGATATGGGTTTTTGTTTGGTGGCCCAACCGTGGACATACAAAATAATTGGCGGCCCATCGAAACTGCCCAAAGATTTTCCATGGCCCATCCCAAATCACTCCGGCCCACCGTAGCAGTTACTTTATGACCGGTCCCTAATGTTTTCCGGGCTTAAAACCATATATTTTGACAATAACGACTATTCGAGCGTCTAAATTAAAAGTTTAACCCATAGGCGAAACACTTATATGTGCTTCTAATAGAACTGGCTCATTTATTCCCATTTGGTCATTTCAAAACATTGCAAAACATTGCACGTTACGCATTTCAGGGAGCTTCCGCTGGATAGCAGGATTGATTTTAAAAAACGCCCTTGCAAATTCCTTGAGGGAATTTGCAATGTTCGTATCGACTGTTGCAGTATTCCAATGGCAATGGAGTTTAATCCATTCCAATGCAGAGAAACGTCCTTTTAAATTTTGCTGACTTCCTGTTCTGTTCTGAGCGTTGTTATTGGTAGATTATTTTTGTCAGCCAATCAGAACGCGCAGAACAGAACAGGAACTGAGTTAGGAACTCTTAATAAGAACTTCTAACAGGAACTGAGGAAAATTTAATTGGCCTTAGGACTTTTCAAATTTACAAACTAAATTAGTTTGTAAATTTGAAAAGTCCTAAGGCCAATTAACTAATACCTTATGAGGAAAGGAACGCTTAATTGACGTAGTTGACCTGCATGTAAGACACTAAATTATTCCTATAGTTTAAATCAGTGTACAACCGTCATCTTTGCCAATTATAATACCGAAGAAGGCATTAACAAAATATTTTGAAGGTGCGCAAACCTGCATGAAACGATAAACTAGAGGGTCTTAGGGGCCGATTGTATGGACTGGGCTAGCCCGGTTTGCTCGCCCTCTTACTTAATAATCTTATATAAATTTTAAGTTTCGATTAGACAACCGCGGGCTAGCCCGCTTAATTGTCGATGTAATCGTTACCGGGCAAACAGGGCTGGAAATCGCACAGGTACGCTTTTATATTGAAAATGTAAACAAAGTAAATAAAAGAAACTCAAAATAGCATCAAGATGTTGTTTTTGTGTTTCAATAAGCTTAAAAGTTTCGAGCAGTGAGGCGACTGCTTTCATTTTCCAAGTACAAGTGAATAAATAAGCTTGCTGGTATCAGTAGTACAACACTCAACAGTGAAAGTAATTACAGCAACAAACCGGCACAATTCTACACACGAAGGAGCCTTAAAATGCAGCATATAGACAATAATTATTTTTAATTAACATCTAGTAAAAATTATTCAATTGTTAAAAACTTTCAATCAAAAGAAGGTTTAAAGTTGCCATTTTCGCTACAGTTGCCATCTTCACACCGTTACGTTACCTTGAAGTTTATTTAATTTATATATGCAGCAGATTGCAGTCTGTATAATCTTTAAACTTCAAATCATGTCAGCGAAGTATAAACGCCCAAAATTAAAACTAAGTTTAGCTATCTGTAAATCTATCCAAAATTCTAGCATGCTATATTGTTATCCTTTATCGGTAGTTTAACAAGAGCGTCTTGAACAAGTAACAGGTAGGAAGGTTAACACGTACATGCATTGCATGTATTTATTGAAAAGGATAAGCACGTGATTGCAATGTAGCTATATACACTAACGTCTAGTGCCTGATGCAAAAAGGAAAGCAATACTGATAATAACTGCAAATATCATCCTCTTCCAGAGTTATATGTTCGACAATACCAAGGCGAGTCACTGATCCAAGAAGTATAGCCCAGGTCACACTACACAACGATAACGATACGATAACTTGTATACGCGCGCTGATTGGTCAAAAATTTATCGTTATCGTTCGACTAAAAAAAAAATCGCTCAGGTGAGCGATTTTAAAATCGTTATCGTTATCGTCAAACGATAATTTTATCATTTTCGTTGTAGTGTTGACACTAACACAATTTTTTTGCCAATTATCGCGTGTTTACAATTTATCGTATCGTTATCGTTGTGTAGTGTGACCGGGCCTTATTTCTGTACACATAGATACAGCCATACAGGTGAAGTTCATACAGACGGCTATAAGCGTAGTCTGACTCCAACTATACCGTTAAGCTAAAAGGGCAGCATATATATACAACTATCTTTATTTGATGCATGTAGAGTGTCCAAATTAATCAGGATGCTAGAAGAAAATAAAAGTAAACATCCTTCATTTACCTTCAATTTTCCAAATAGGATATCTATGGAATAGTTTGTTTGCAACAAACCAATTAATCAATGACAACAAACATGCATGTAATATCGTAAGAAAGTCGTTCTGCATGGCGTGTTCTTGTGAACGTACTGCTTGAAACACACACGCGAGGGTATAGTTTGTATTCAGGAGGCAATGAAAAAAACAACATGCAGTTACCAAACATAAGTACAGGGGCTAGTTGTATAAAAAGGTATAGTTAAAATTAACTACAGTTTGTCTGTTTGTGCGAAAGTTACCATTCGATGCATGATTTATATATCCCAAGTTCGAGGTTTGTAACCGACTTATTTACTATAGTTGCGGAGGTTTTCGAGAACAAGGTTTCATCAATTTCAAAGACTTACGATCAAGATTTTATTTTTCGAGTCAGTTGTCCACAAGTTTAATCTAATTATTTATTCACAGGTTATAACTTGTATACATCCCGCGGTCACATAAAAGAAAACCAACTCAACTAGTAAATAACTCACCTAATAACCTTATTAACCATCAACCTTAACCCAAAATGAATCCTCACTGCATGTAACCGTCATGTTATATTGATTAACGATCATCGTCTGTTAAAAATTCCGAACATTTGATGTTAGCTTCACGACTACATTTTACTGATTCACTTCACAATAATATACGGACGTGCATGTCACACTCTCGTATATTTATTGAAACCGACATTGACACAGCTGCTTAAACATCTTGAGTAACTTCAATCAGTGACTGCAAACCGTGAGAACGACGAAGATGTTTCGTTCAACATGAACCAAATATGTAAAACGTGTGTAAATCAGTTATATTTTACAGAAATAGAAACTCAACTCGTTTTATATACTATATATACGTGTACGTTATAAACAATGCAAATTCCAACTGTAAACCGATAAATCATGATGTGATCAGTTATACCTAGGACACATTACTAAAAGCTCGTAAAGCTTTTGTGTCTCTCTTAAAATTTAAGTCCAGATGGCGTGATTTTATAGTCTGTTTCGCGCATGGTACTCAAGAAATTGTGAAGGGGAGAGTAGGCTGGGATGGAAGTTCAAATTTCCTTTGTTTGTTTGGATTCTGTTACTGTCGTGCAATAGATTTTTTGTTTTTATCAAGGATTAAGTAATTTTAAAACATATACACCTATTGTCTCGTAAGCAATAAAAAATATTCCAAACAATCGAAAGTATCCCACCTGCTTGAAATCTTGCGGTATCTGGATGACTACGGTCCTTACTTGGTAAAAAAACCCCTGACTGTATCTGGATGACTACGGACCTTACAGTACTTGGTCAAAAAAACCTGACAGTTGTACAGACCACCGCTGCAAATGTTTGGCTTGGTCCACCGGTGTTTAAGAGAGGTAACCGACCCTTGCATGCGTCGTACTGTACTAAGACAATACTAAATCTTCCATTTCGCTCAACGATCACATTAAAATATTCCCAATCACCTACTCACGACTTCCTTAACCACCTCTTCTTCTTTAAGGCTGTAAATATTTGGTCTGGTAACGATCGATCCTAACATTGTACCTACGCCGTATATGCCGATGAGAACAACCAGAATCTCCTAGGCCTCAACTTCTGATGTTCAATATAACAACGGTCATTTGTCAGCAAGATGTGAAGGACATTTAACGTTATGCCATGTCAAATGCGGAAAAGGGCGTCACCTTGAGCATGTTCAAAGGTGATCTCCAACTGTATTGCCACGCATGCAGACGCAGTGGCCGTCGCAAAGAGGTTTAAACAGAGGTGTCACATTTGACGACTAAAGAGCGTGGTCTCTGGGTGTGGTCATCTCAAATTAACTATTCAATGGACCTATTACCTAATGAATAAAATTTTGATCTAGACAAGTCTAGACAAAAATTTCATCGCAGCTTGAAAGAGCATCACAAAATTAGTAATATTCCGACGTTTCGTTGCGAAATGTTGTAAAATGCGGATAATATAGCCCTGCGAAGATTGCCGTTTTTCAGTCATTTTGTATTACGCACGGGATTTAGGAAATTGATACCGCTTTCTGAAAAAAGGTGTCAATTTTCCGTGCGTGATACAAAATGACTGAAAAACGGCAAACTCGCAGGACTATATTATCCGCATTTTACAACATTTCGCAACGAAATTTCGGAATATTACTAATTTTGTGATGCTCTTTCAAGCTGCGATGAAATTTTTGTCTAGACTTGTCTAGATCAAAATTTTGTTGAACGTTCATTAGGTAATAGGTCCATTAGCCTTTCTCACGAAGGTCAAAATCCGCCATTTTTGGGGTACTGTCTGCCCTCGTGAAAGACTCTAGACAATTCAAACAACGTGAAAAGCGACTTTTAAAAGTTGTACATTTACCAGTATACAAACAACGACAATACTAAAACGTTGTATTTCGTGGTGCGGAGCCGCTCGAACTTGGGAGAGGCAGTACCCCAAAAGTGGCGGAAAAATTGGGCGTGAGAAAGGCTAATTGCATGTAATTTTAGAATGCGACATATCTTTAGACGACTGGCCAACTTTCCAAAAGTTGCACTCTGATGGCTTTTTTGCTACAAGCTGGCAACTGATATGGCATTAATAAAGAAGACTATTTATGTTGGCACCTCTGATTTTGGCTTTATATACCCGAGAATTTGAGAGTTTTAAAATATTGCCTATTAAAAGTACTGTGTTGACAAAAATGCAGAATTTCAAGTTTACTTTTCACAAAAATACGCTATACCATTAGAAAGATCGCACAAAAGTATGTTAAAGGAGCTCAATGTTGGCAAAGTAGTAACTTTTAGCATAAATTAGCGCATTTTCTTCATTTTTGAACGTTAGAAACTGATCGAAATCAGCTACGAAAGTCATAATAGGCAATATTTCAGAATTCTCAAATTTTCGGCTACAAAGGCAAAATCAGAGTTGCCGACATATATGCATATACTCTAAGAAAATGCCAGTTTCCAGCTTGTAATAGAAATGCCATCAAACAAATTTTGGTCGGTACATTTTCAGGTTTTGGCCGTCCGTCTACTTTAATACACTGACGAGAATCTTGTTGGACAATATGCTTTATTTCAGTAAGATTAATAACTATGTTCCTGTGTTTTAACTAAGTCCTAAAGGGTGTTAAATTTCAATGGTTTTACACCCAACTCTCAACGGAGAAAATATGCGATTCTGAATAACAATTTTTATCGGATTCGTATTTGCTAATTTGTTATCCCAAGTTGTTATCCATTCATATGAAGAACCAGATAGGCCGTGAGATGAGGGTCGAAAATATGCTTAGCCAACAGATTCCGTAGCACCCATCGTGTACTACATAATTTTTACATGAATCTATAGATTATAACTTACTTAGTTAGAATCCACTTCCCCCCAAGCGAAATAGTTGCACAAATTGAAGTACAAGCTCTTCAAAGTTCACGCTTCCTCGTGTTTTGGAATCATGAACCGCCATTGTTGTGTTGCAAATACGCATGCGCTTGAGCACAAAACACGTAATGCGCACCACGGAACACCGCGGAAAAACGTCTGCGCATGCACCAAATTATGAAAATATGGCGGGGAATTTGAGTATCAATTTCTAAAACAAAAACATGCTTATTAATTGGTCAAAAATTAGTAAAACAAACGAGAAAATATAGCAAATGGGTAGACTAGACATTAATTGAAAGCGTCCTGGCATTTAAAGTATGGAATGAAATATAATTCATGTAAAAAAATGTTGATTTTAACGGACACGGCTTCGAAAATTTTTGCAGAATTATTCAAAACAAAAATTCAAACTAAAAAGTTAATCCAAAAGTTAAGCTTCTTAACCCACTCAAATTGTAGAATAAATCCTAAAGTTTAATTATTGTGAACACGAAAATTTTTTATATTTGGCGACACAGTTTTTTTTAAAGAAATGTATCTCAAACGAAAATTCGGAAATTGTCGTTGCTTAGTTGATAAACAAAATGTTTCAGACGATAAATTTGTCAACAATCACCTTTAGTTCATGTTCTTGTACAATACAATTTCTTGAACCTTCTGGCTGTATTTATTTCTAGTTTTTAGAATGACATGTTTATTTTTGCGCTTGAAATCTGGCTGTAAAGACGCACAATGAAGTCACTCCTTTTTACCGCCATTTTGAGCCTTCGGAAACGTTCGGAACAGCTTCTCATCAAGTTCGCAATACTATTACAGGTAAGGTTGACGCATGCGCAGACGTTTTTCCGCGGTGTTGCACCACGGTTAATAGTGCGCACGCGCAGATAAGAAAACTGATCTCAATCTAGGACTGGACAAGAAAAAAATTATGAAATGTGCGAAAACAGGGCTGAAGTAAAACAAGATGACATCGGAATATTTTATGATATTTGATATTTTTATGTTCTGTGCATTTTAATGGAGTTTACCAAACATTCTGAGCAATGTACCGTGTCGAGCCCTCGCCAGGAACACTTCCAAGCCTGTTGGCTTGGAATAATCAGTGACTACAATAATCAGTAATATGATGTTATTTTATACTACAGCAATTGCATAACATTTGCAAGCGAATCTGTTTTTCAGGCTTTAAATATTATCACAATCCAAAACATTCTATAACATGCATACCGTAATTTCTCTATCCAATTTATTAGGGGAGAAGGGGGGAGGGGGTTTAATTCTAATATATAGAACTGTTTTGCACGTTTGATTCTCTTTAAATATGCAACATCGGGTATTGTGACTATCAGTAAAATATCATAATTATCTTTCAAATACAATACTTTCATGTTTCACGATTTTATACATTAATTAATTGGTTGCAAGAGAAAGGGGTGGGGAGTACCGGTGCTAAACAGAGAAATTACGATATACCATAAATATGTATAGGTTATTTTGAGGCAACGAGGGGATATGTGATTTATTCACCGAGGCGCGCAGCGCCGAGGTGAATAAACACATATCCCCGAGGTGCCTCAAAATAACGTACTTATTTTTCACACTGCGAGGTCGCGTTAATGAGTCAGAAAAGAAATAATTCTCAATGCCATTTTGCCTTCGCGATGTTGTTTTTTTCTCATCAATTTTTGTGCTGCAAAGACATTGCAGGTGAATATTAGAGGGGATTATTAATTGCAGGTGAATATTAGAGGGGATTATTAAACGGAAATTGATTAGAGGAGAATATTGAATATATTCCCCGACAAGAACAAAGGAAACCGAGCAGGGTGAAAAATAAGACTGAGTGTTACTCGGTGCTCACAATTTTATTTATTTTCTAAATCTTTCCCTGTCAATTTTATTAGTCCAGGTTCGTTGTTTATTATTTCTTTTGCATTTCTGGCTCCCTACAGTTATTCTTGTTTAAGCAATAATTCCGCAAAACAGGCTTATTCGTGCAGAACGCGAATTCTTTTCGATTTGGTGGCAATATTGGTCACCTAAGGACTATTTCGAACTAGATTTCGACAACGTCAATGTTCCCATGGCAACATGACGACAGCACAAAGCCTTCCAATTTAACCCATAAATGTGCCGCTATCTCAAAAACGATGTCGGTGACCTATCTTTTTTATTTCATATATCAATAAGGATTGATGCTCTGCAACTGTGGTGAAAGTTTAAAAAAATTCTGTAGTGTGAGATTTTTTTAAAAGCGAAAATTTTATTGCGAAATTTCCACACTAAAGATTTTTTTAAAAATTGAAAATTTACCGCAAAATAAATTTGTGGTCAAAATTTGAAGATAGGTCACCGACGAAACTAATGAGTAAAATGCAAATAAAGTTAGAAAATAGCCT